TTCCTCTTCCTCTGCATGGCATCTGGGGCCGGGTCAGACCAACCCCCAGATTTCTCCCCCAGCTGCAAGAATCCCTGCAAATTCCTCCCCCCATCTGCTTCCTGCACCCATTGCTCCTAAGCTGCAGGAGGAGGGATCCCTGTACAGGGAGCTGCTCCCCCATCCGCCCAACCTTATGAATCCAGACCCCCTCATACCTAGACTCTCCCACTGAGCTCCACTTCCCCTGCACCTGGATCACCCCGACGAGCCACCCGCATCCAGATCCCCACCCCACTGAGCCCCAACCAGCTGCACCTGGATCCCCACCCCACTGAGCCCCACTCCCCCAGCATCTGGACCACCCACACCCAGAACCCACACACACACCGAGCTCTGTTCCCCCACACCCCCGCCGAGCCTCAGCCACCTTCACCTGCAAAGTCCCATTACTGTTGCACCCAGAACCCTCCAACAATCCCCTGTGCATCCACACCCTCCAAAACACACACACCAGGATCCCCCCACACTAAGACCCTTCACACTTGGAGCCTGCCTGCCCACACCTGGTGTACCTGGCACAGAGGGGCAGGGCCCTGGGGTGTTTCTGGGGCAGGCCGGTCCTTGCGTCGTGTCAGGGTTGGGTGCATCCTCACTGCTGAGTCCCTGTCTGGGGGGGAGGGGAGAGATGCACAGTGATCTCCCACCTCTGTGCAGCCAGTGGCCTGTGCTCCCCAATGCTGTGCTGGAGTCTCCCAATTTATTTGATAAATAACATTTGCAGAATTTTTATTTTTTTTAGCACAGAACTGCCCTCAGGAGCATATTGATTGCTGCTTCTGGTTTGTCCCACCTAGCAATCTGAAAAAATGCAACACTGACACCCCCACCTGATTCCAGAGTTCATGGTTCTTCATGCACTACAAGTTTGTTTTGTGGTTCCAAACTGATTGGGATTCCAAGGTTTCCTGTGAGTTAAAATAATCTGTAGTTCTTACATGCTGTAGCTTGCAACACCTGTGTTGTTTTGCACTATATCCACTCCTCTTCTTCGCTCCCCACCTCCAAAAAAACCAACTTTCTTTTATATTCTCATTTTGAATGGGGTTATATTGTTCAATAAGTTATGGGGATAGAGTGACTGCTGTCCAGGAACTTCTTTTTCGGTGTTTGTACAGTGCCTAACACAACCGGCTCCTGGTCTAGGATTAGGACTACCTAGGTGTTACAGTCATACAATTCAATAATCATGCCCCTTTTGAATACATTTCATACTACTACATTGATTCTCTTCCACAAACCCTCTGTCAGCAGCTGATTTCCAAAGCTATATTAGCTGTTGCTGAGGGTAGAGGGCCTAAGCTTAAACCTACTGAAGTAAATGAAATAATTTCTACGTCAGCTGGTGTTTGGATCAGGTCTGTAGTTCCTGAGCCTCAGAGGTAGTGACCAACCACAATTCCCAGTAACGTCTACGGAAGCTGTAGGTATTTAAAATTACAACTTTGAGATGTTTTCACTGTGAAACCAAATCCGTCCTCCTCTAACCTTTTTCGGTTTGAAATTGACTTGATCAGTGAACTTTGTTCCTCTCCCTTACAAAAAGAATGAGACACCTTTATTTGCACACTATACACTATTCTTGTGACTGTAACAAACTTTAAAGATGGCCAGCAGTCTACAATTACTCCTGTACACCCTCAACCATTCACTTAATTTATTCCTACTTATTTAATCAACATCAATTTTTCTTTAATTTCTCCCTGCCTCGGACATCTCTTTCCAAACAGCGTGGGTGGAAGGAATTAACACAGATGATTTGTGTCGGCTTGAAATGAGTGCACCCCAACGGATACAGGACTAGCTTTGGATCACATCCATTGTGGAGTTGAATTATCAAAACAGCAATTGTGAGGGGCTATTACTCTGCTTCTCGGGCCCGAAGTCAGCAGTTTTCTCTCTAGAAGTAGAACTGAACCCAATGAAGTTTCACTCTGCTTGTCAACAGGTTCAGCTGTGTAAATCCTGTTGGAATGCAGCACTCATCACCTGCTGGGACTGTAAATGTTGGAATGCGAGGCCTCAGGAGTGGAAGATGAATGAGGAATACCTGCCTTCTGCAGGTTTCAAAAGGGGAGCCATGTTAGTCTGTATCAGCAAAAACAATGAGGAGTCCTTGTGGCACCTTAGAGACTAACAAATTTATTTGGGCATAAGCTTTTGTGGGCTATAACCCACTACACCTATGGGAAGCAAACACAGATATGAACACAGTTTGCCAATGCAACTGCAGGGAGGTAAGAGATCCCTACGCTGCTATCTAATATGAAGAGAAGGGGATTTTTTGACATGCACACCCTCTTCTGTAGTAGTAGTACCACCACGTAGGAAGTGCAAGGAAAAAATAGAGGGGGAAAAAAACCACAATGCTCAATGCTAAATTGATTAACATCTAATCTGCATTGTAGCATGCATGCACAGACACCCAATATTCTAATCTATTTCTACAGGCTTTATATGTATTAACATATGGTGCCCTTGAACTGGGGAACATTTGATTACTCAGGTTATTTGTAAATTGATATGCTAAATTTCAACAAGCAATTATTAGCCTTTACATTATTTTTGTGGGTTTTATGCTCTTGTGAATGTAATTGTTTTCCTGGGGATTTACACAATTTCAAATAGGAAACTGTAACAAGGTCTCCCTCTCAAAAATATCTACATAGTCACAAAAACTTCATTTAAGTCTTCATAAGTCAACCCCTCAAAAGTTTCAATGTCTGTTCCCCCTTGCACAACAGGTAATAAAAGGTGAGTAGAAAATTCCAAGGGGGGGGGTAGAATAACTAATTTCTTTTCCCTTCCTAACACGCCCCCTTTTTGATCCCTCTTCAAGGGTTTAAAGAATGACAGTCTGAGCAGAGACAGGCATGAGTAGGTTGTCATGCAGATTAAGGATGAAATGTTAAGGAGGCCAAACATAATTGATGTCTTTATCACCTTTATTATGGAGCTGTTTTTATTGAAAAGAGAGCCAGATCTTCAGTTGCTTGTAAATTGGCGTAGCTGATTTCACCAGCTAAGAATCTGTCCCAAAGGTTTACAGACAAATTAGACTCTGGTATCTTTGTCACTAGGAAATTTAAGAGTTTAAATTCAGAAGATGAAAATGTTGTGTGAAGAGATAAAGCAGTTATATAAACAAACTAGTATCACAAACTTAGCATACTCAGTGATCTCAAGCCATAAAATTAACCTACATTAGCAGCTGTCCCATTTAGGAACAACTTAAGCGTTTTAATTTTTTAAACGATCCAATGCTTGCTGCAGGTCAACATATAAAAAGGTTTGAGTAAATAAACCAGTATGCGCACACACGGATGTGATTAAAGCAAGCTGTACATTTCCTTGAGCATATAAAATCTTCTACATATTTAAGCACAGTGCTGCAAAGACTTATGTGCTTAACTTTATGAACTGGGATTCTCACAGTGTCTAAAGTTAAAGCGTATGAGGCTCTGGGCCTTTTATATAAAAAGGCTATTTAAATAATAGCTACAATAATTAAAGTAACTGTTCTTACCTGCAGTGCCAATGTAAGATTGTTTAAGCTGAACAACTGACAGCTAACGCTACTAAACAGGAAAATAGATTTCTAGCTAATATTGCTTACACATTAGCCAGATCGGATTTGTTTTTGTGGGGTCCTTTACACCACTGCTATGAATAGTGTTTATAATAACTGAGATGAGACATTCTGATTCTGTTGGGCATTGATTCTCCAACTTCCTGAGCACTGGAACCTTCAGTGTAGGTTAAACACCTCTATCAGATTTACAAGCTGAGGCCAAAAAATAATCCTACATAGGAAAGATGAGGGTAGAATATTCTAGGAATTATTTTTGTTGTTTTATCTGCTCCCAATTATCTATCATTTTGATATAACTGAATGCTTTCCATCAGTAAAAAAGCAAACACTGAAAGGGATAGGTTTCAGAGTAGCAGCCGTGTTAGTCTGTAATCGCAAAAAGAACAGGAGTACTTGTGGAGTACTTAGAGACTAACAAATTTATTTGAGCATAAGCTTTCATGGGCTACAGCCCACTTCATCGGATGCATAGAATGGAACCCACAGAAAGAAGATATTTATACAGAGAACGTGAAAAGGTGGGAGTAGCCATACCAACTGTAAGAGGCCAATCAATTGAGATGAGCTATCATCAGCAGAAGAAAGAAAAAAACCTTTGAAGTGATAATCAAGATGACTCATAGAAGATGTAACGGTATTTTAACATATTTTAACATGAGGAAATAGATTCAATTAGCGTAATGACCCAAATATTCCCAGTCTCTGTAAATAAATGGACACAAATCTGACATCAGGCATCATAACGTTCAAAAACCAGTGGGAGAACACTTCAATCTCTCTAACCACTCAGTGATAGACCTGAAGGTGGCAATTTTGCAACAAAAAAACTTCAAAAACAGACTCCAAAGAGAGACTGCTGAACTTGAATTAATATGCAAATTAGATACAATTAACTTAGGTTTGAAAAGAGACTGGGAATGGTTGGGTCGTTACTGGGAATTTCTCAGGGCCTGAAAGAAGCCCTGCTAGGAAAATACATTATGTTGCACCCACTCTTCACCTGGCTGTCTCCATGGAAGTGGACTGGGGGGAAAGTGTTACACACAAAGGAATTCACCCACTTCTTTTGGAATGGGAGAGAGAAAGAGAGACAGGCAGCGTGCCCTCTTGCCCATGTGGATAAAAGGGAGGCCAGTCCAGGCACAAGGGAGATGACAGCTCTCCCTAGTCCCTGTGGATGAAGAAACAGGCATAGGGAACACCCCCGCACACCCCCGCGTTTTGCCTATGTAAGGAGGAAAGGCAGACGTGGGAAAATCCTCCTTAAGAATGGGAAAGGCAAATCCCAGGGCGTCCCCCATGGCCCCTGTGAACGGGGGAGGGAGCAGCGGGTCCAGGGGAGTCCCCCGGGAACAGAGCCGGCACTTACTGTATCCTGCCCGCGGTGGTAGCGTTCCCCGTCTGGGCTCGGAGACAGGCCAGCAGGAGCAGCCTCATCGCGGCGCGGCGCGGCCCGTCCCACCGGGCCCGGCGGTAGCTACGGGCAGCTCCCAAGCAGGGCCAGGGCAGGGAGCCTCCTTGGGGCCGCTGCCATCGCTCCGTAGCCGGCACCCGAGGCAGCGTTACCGGCCTGCAGCTGCTGCCTGTGGTCCGGTCCACAACGGCACCCCGGCCGCAGGAGCCCGGAATTAGAGTTCCGCCTCCCCCGGGGCGGGACAGAGACCCTCCCTCCTGCTCCTTACGACGGAGGGCGGGGAAGGGACAGACACTCCCTAGCCACGGACACCAGTGACAGATGCACACAGGGGCTCCAGCCCTAAATGTGGGGCCAAGCCCTGTTCTGAATGGATCGGGCCCACCCAGGAGAGAGAGAGAGACCGTGGGGGGTGGGGGGCTGACTCTTCTTTAAGCTTCCCAACACTGATCTAGCCTGTCAGGCCAGTAACATCAGAGAGAGAGAGACTCCCCGCCCCTGCAGATCCAGGTCTCACAAAGCCAGACTGTTTCTTCACTTGCACCACTTTTACACTGGTGACTTGAATTGAGTTACTCCTGATTGACACCACTCAAAGGCCCTGTCCACACTAGAAAGTTGTACCTCTTTAACTATGCCAGCATAGTCAAAGTGGTACAACCTGCCCTAGTTTGGACCCAGCTATATTAGTATAAAGGGTTGGGGGCTGTTATACACATCCGAATTCTATACCAGTATAGGTACACCACACTTGGAAGGCTTTGCAGGTATAGATATATGGGCATACCATATTGGCAAAGTACTCCTTATATGGATCCAGTTTATAATGGCAAAAGTGGCATAGCTTATTCCAGTCCCCCTTGCGTGAAACTGTGTTTACACTAAGGAATTTTGCTAGCACAGCTATGTTGGTCACAACTCTAACCTCATCACACCTCTGACCGACATACATATGCCAGCAAAAGTTTGCAATATAGACCTGACCTAAGTTACCTTTATACTGATATAACTGCTAGGGCCTTTACTGGTATAATTATGTTGGTTTTTAAAAAAGTCACACCCCTTACCTGATCTACCAGTAAAGTTTTTATGACCTTAGTGAGATTAGAATTAGAACCTGAGAGAGAAATATATACTTTCTTCCTCACACATGCACACAACTGACAGACACACACCCATCCTCACTGCATACACATTACTGGAGCCAAAACTTTCCCAATATTAGAAGCATTCAGATCTGGGAGTTTTATTTAAGCCTAGCACAAATCAGCATACCCACGCTTAACTGTGTATGCTCACATGCATACACTTAAACAGGGCTGCCCAATGTGAATTAGGGAGATTAAAATTGAGGCTCCCTCCAAACAAGTGAAATGTGGCAAATTGGCACCTATTAACAAAGAAATGGCTGCTTAGGAATATTTCATCAAACTGAGGGGTGATTTTAACGGCTACATGTTTTCCTTTTTTCCCCATTGTTCTGTTTTGCATGTGCAAAGAAACCAATCATTTGTCAAACAACAGCCCACATAAATACATACCTTACTGTGCTCTGGAATAATATTTCTGTTGCATGTATTTGCATTTTTTCATATAGTAATTGGATGTGAATGTGTTATCCATCAAGATGAAAACCAAATAAAAAAATTAGTAGATCCAAACTTTCCCAACATTAGGAGCATTCAGATCTGGGATTTTGGTTTGAGCCCATCACAAGTGTAAAAACTGCACCTTTCTTTCAGAAATATTTTCCACAGAATAAATTTTTGAACCTTAGGGAGGACTTAGGATTTGTCTTCACTTCACTGCAGTGGCGCCGATATCTGGTGAAGACACACTACATCGCACTCTCCAATCGACGTAATTACTCCACCTCAATGAGAGGCGAAAGCTATGTCAGCAGGAGAGTGTCTCCCACCGACATAGTGAGGAATAGACACTGCTTTGAGTTGATGTAATTTACATTGCTCAGATGGGTGGTTTTTTCACACCCCTGAACGACATAAGTTACATTGACATAAGCAGAAGTGTAAACAAGCCTTTAGAAATCCTGGCCAAAATTATTATACCTCTCAAGAACTAAGGCTTAGTAAGCCCTGTTTTGTAGAAGTTTTATCTGATTTAAATCTGAATATTCATCTTCAACAAATTTGTCATACGTGGAGGAAAAGTAAATTCCTTGTTTCCTAAAATGTAGAAATCTTCACACGGGGGAAATAGAGTCCCAGTTAGAGAGATGGAATCTTGACACTTGCCTTAGCCCCGCTGTGCCACCGACCAGGAGCTGCCCGAGGTAAACACCGCCCGGCCGGAGCTCGCACCCCTCATCCCCTCCCGCACCCCAACTCCTACCCCACCCTTGACCCCCCCTCCTGCACACAAACCCGCTCCCAGAGCTTGCACCCCCTCCCACACCCCAACCTCCAGCTCCAGCCCAGAGCCCGGTTCCCTCTCCCACACCCCAACCTCCTGCCCCAGCTCTGAGCCCCCTCCTGCACTCAAATTCCCTCCCATAGTCCGCCCCCCTCTGCCCCAGCCTGGTGAAAGTGAGTGAGAGTGGGGGAGATCGAGTGACGAGTGACGGAGGGAGGGGGGATGGAATGAGTGGGGCAGGGCCTGGGTGGTTGGGTATGTGTGATTAGACAGTTGGAAATACTACTCCTAATTCAACTGTAAGGGAGCAAGGAAGGAAAAACAATTCTCCATCCATTTATCCTGTGTTGATTAAACTTTCCTGGAAAGACCTCATAGCCTTTTCAGACTGGTCTCCCCTGCTTTGAAAAACTCGCACCTACATCCTTCATAAAATGTTGACTTTCCATGGAAAAAGCATTATTCTTATGCAACACCAATTGGCATAAGAGCTGACTGGGTGGTACATTCATCCTGGGTATATCCGCTTGCAGGAGTTTTAAATGTACTGTAGCTAAAAATGTTCTTGTTTGGAGAAAAATGAAAAATTTCTCTGGTGAAGCCACTATATTTCATAGACAGTAAATTCAGTAGATACAGCTGCTTTTGAATTTCAGTGGGACTGTCATAACTACTTATTTCTCAGTACTGAAGAGACAATAACATTGTTATAATGTGCCTCTCTAATATTAAATATGACTATTTCAGTGTTGCAAGATGTTTTTAACAGTTGGTGGATGGGCCAATATAAAACGTCAGCTCGCTGCTGCTAAGATAATTTGTGCAGGGACTAGAATGTGATGTCTGTGTATATTAAAGTGTGCCCTAATGCAAAGTAATGTTATCTACTTGATAGTCTCTGGGCAATGCTATTAGAAACCTTAGACGATGTAATCACACTAGTTGCATAGTATACAAAATTAGGTAAGTCATATAAACCTCAAGTATTGATCAGTTCCTGTTAAATTATTGGTAACTTTACAACAATATTTTACAAACATGAGATCCTTCATCCACATTTGGTTATATGAACTTTGCTGCACTTTGTCATTAAGTTTAAACATTAAAGTGAGCAAATATATTTAATGAGTCACTTCCACGGGGTCAGTATGTTATTTACAAAGGCCCTTCTTTAAAGATAAGTGCATTTTTTACTGGGACCAGCTGTTTAATTAGTAACACTTAGCTATACTCCTTTACTGACAATTATAAAATCTTGATTTGCAACCAGATGCCTGGGTGTGGTGGTATATTGTCAGTCTGCCTTTTTTATTGAAAACAGGAAGAGTGCAATATCTCTTCCATTTTGTTCAGAGCAAACATTTTACCTTAGGGCCTGATCCTACAACACATACTTCTGAGCATAGTGTTTGCCTTTGTGACTAGTCCCAATGAAGTATTAAATGCCCTTATTCATGATAAATTGCACTTACTCGCAAAATTCGGCCAATTAACTTCAACTGCTAATTAGCATAAGCGAAGATGGCAAAAGGGGAACTTTAAGGCCCTGAACTCGCAAACACTGACACGCATGGTTAATTTTACTGCCTGAGTAGTCCCACTGAAGTCAAGGCCTTAATTTCTTCAGGTGATCGGTGACACATAGTAAAACTCAAATACAGTGGGAAGAAAAAAATAAAAGGCAAGTCTAAACTATGCTTCCTAATCACTTATCTTTCACAACAGCACCAAATACTAAATATAAATATTAATAATTTTGAAGGTGTGTCAATTGATCAGTTTATAATATCAGTGTGATGCAAAAGCATTACATAAACAATGAGACAGTTTACACTGAGAATTCCATTTTTTCCAAGATAATTTTTTCCTGTCATTCCTGTTTTCTTTTTTCTGACTATGAACTGCAGCAAGAGCAAAAATCACATTTTCATAGTAATATTTTATTGTTGTTATTATACAAGCAATTTTTAAAATTCAATGTTGAAATCAGAAAAGGAGAAGATTAACTGGTCCATCTATTTCAAACTATGAAGACAGGATCTGTTTCAGGCTATGACCATTTAAAGAAGTGAAAATGAAAAAAATTATCGGTGAGGTTATTCAATGTAAGAGGAACATACTTTAAAATGTAGTCCAGAATTAGTCTCTATGTATCATGAGGATGGCAGCAGCATAAGAACCTAAAAAGAATAGAAACTATTTGGGTTTTCCTGGAAATGAGTGAGAGGCAGCAGGGTATTTCACTGTTTATGGCCAAAGTGTGCATAAAATCATGATCCTTTTTTGTTATACCATTCCCTCTCGATCCCCTTGTCCCATTCTTTGTTGTTATCCCTTTTTTGTTGAGTGTTGAATTACCATATAAGGTCCTGAATCTATCATTTCATCTTTTAATAAAGTGTTGTGCACACCTGTTGGACTGTATAAATACAATAAAATTAGAGTGTGTAATACATAATAACATCTAGTCCATAGAATAATATGCCAAAACACAATCACAAGACAGAGGTTACTGGTCCTCTAAAGACAATGCAGGCCCAAGAGCATCAGGCCCATTTCAGGAACTCAGGTGGGTGGAAAGTAACTATTGTGTGGCCCCATCATTGTAGCACCTGGAGTCTGAATTTACCCCACAGAGAAGCCACCCAGGGCTCACATTCCCCCTGCAATAACTCCCACCAGTGAGCCAGGCGCTCAGCCACGCCCCACGCAGCCACGTCACTCCGCCCCCTGGGCGGGACCTGGCTAGGGGCAGCCCCCGCGCAACACCTGCGCGCGGAACCCGGAAGCGCCATTGAGGAAGTGACAGCCGACGCAGCCAATCAGTGCGTATAGCAGGGGCCAGGCGGGCGGGGCTGGAGCCCTAGGCTAGAG